CACGAAGCCAATGCATTTGATATCATTGAGCTCACTGGCCTGCCCACTCCAGGCGAATTCTTCGAGCAAGGCTGTCGGCTACACACTGAAGCTATTGAGAGCATATTCCAGAGGCCTGAACCGAATATGAGTCAGATGCTCTCCATGATGAAGCCATTGCCCCACGATGCTCCTTATCCCACAGAGTTCTTCGTTGAAGACCTTGAGTACCTGCCCAGGACCATCTATCACATCATCCGGCGGACTCTCTGGCCCATTAAAGGACACTCTCCAAATGCCAAGATCGAGGGTGCAATGAAGACTCTGATATTCTGTATCCTTCATGGCAAATGCTTCAACGCACAGGATTTCTTCATACGCCAACTAGCTGCATCAGGCTCAGATCTGTTTGGTTTAAAGTTCTATGCTCCTTGGGTAATGAGGCTGATCAAACTTCACTCCGCCATCTTGTATCAGCCCTCAGCCCGCAACCATCGGATCTTCTTGCCTGATGTGGATACCTCTGCTAAAGCCATTTATCCTGAATCTGCCAAGCAACCTCTGAGTCTTCAGAATGCAGAACACCAAAGCTTCACTCAAAACGTTGAAGGTGTTGAATCCATCTCCAGGGTATATCCTTTGGCTGGCACTACACGTGCACCACATCCTGCTTCAACTAAAGCCACTGACAGTGCCACTGCTTCAAGACCCAAGAAGCGCACTCGTGTTCTCAACGACCGAGAGCTTCTTGTGGCCCTTCATCAAAAGGTGGATAGGCATCATGATTGGTTAAAGAGACAGATGAAAAGCCTCTTGGTGGATGTAAATCGCATCCGAAATCTTGCCACCAAGAATGCATTCGTTGCACATGAAACCTGTCGCCGCACATGGAAAGGGCTAACGATGATGCTTTCTGAAGCTGATCTTCAAGAGGATGGCTTCACTGAAAGATTCAAGTTTGACTCCACACCTCCTCGAAGAGCTGTGCTGCTGGGAACTCCATCCCTTGAAGATTCTGAGTTCTCTTCCTCTGCTGCCACAGTCACTGCCAGAATTATTGAGGAAGAATACGATGCTACTTCACACCATATGCTTAAGCACCTCCAAGCTCTTCTGCACCGCCAACCAACACCAACAACCCTGCTACTTCACCTACTCCTCATGGGAACGAGTAGAGACTCTATGTCTTCAAACCTTTTTGGTCATTACTGACAAAAGGGGGAGAAGCATATGAGATATTGATAGTCTTCAAGCGGGCTCATATGGGCGGGTGCTTACAACTCTCATTTTTTTTGCTACATTTGGCTCTTATGAGTTGTAACACTTAAACTAGATGGTCGTCTGCTACTTGTTTGCCACCTTGTTTTGCGAAGATAAATTCCGCATGTGCGACGATAAATTCCGCACTTAGCTCATTCTGCAGACGTCCATTTTCCATTATGCATGTCATTATCTTCATATACTTTCACATGCATAGTGGATTGTCATCATAAGCTGAAGTGGATCTCCACAAGTACAACCTGCCATGTGCATTTGCATTCCAAAAGCAAATTAACTTATATGCACATCTTCAGGGGGAGCCCTTGCAACTTATGAAGACAATTCCTTATCCTTTACAATTTCATAGATTATATTCCCCGTTGAAAACTTCAACTAGTTTGTCATCAATCACCAAAAAGGGGGAGATTGTAAGTGCATCTAGTGCCACCCCTAGTTGGTTTTGGAGTATTGACGACAAACCTAGTTGAGGGACTAAAGTGTTTGTGAGAATTGCAGGATAACACAGGTAGAAGTCCCTCATTGATTCGGTTTTACTACCATAGATGACCCCTAAAAATGTATGAAGACATTGAAGTCAAAGGTGGTATATGAAGATATTCACATTGAAGACTATGACAAGAGAAGACACGATATGAAGCCTATGGAGCTCGAAGACTTAGATCTTACGTAGTTCTTTTTTCTGTTGTGTTGAGTCATAGGAACCACCGTACTGTTAAGTGGGGTCCAGGAGAACCAGTCAGAATGACTGAAGTGATGCCTAAAACAAAAACCTATGTCTTCGAGTGAAGACAATGAGAGCGAATCTTGTCCAGAGCCGGACAAGTCAGCTTTGCTTGTAGCCCAAGTAAAGTTGCCATGTGAGTTTGAAATCTGACCGTTGGGACACGTGTCAGTTCCTTAGTGACCCAGGGTCATTTTGGGCAAATCAGGTCGGGTTGCCAAGTGGCTATAAATAGCCCACCCCCTACAACCATCAACGGTTGGCTGCTCAGATTGAGAGTACGGCTTTTGTCGTTTGAGAGCAACCCACCTCGAAGCCTTTGAGAGAGAATTCCTTGCGAGGATAAAGCCCTAACCACCCAGAGCCAGAGAGAATCGGGCATCACTTAAGTCTTCTTGTCTGTGTGATCTGAAGACTTATTACACTTGAGGACTATGCATCCTCCAGACGGTTAGGCGTCACGTTCTGAGCATCCAAGAGACATTGTGGATTGCCAGTGAACGAAGTCTGTGAAGGTTTGGGAGTCTACCTTGAAGACTTACCAGAGTGATTGGGCGAGGACTATGTGACCTTAGCTCAAGGAGAATACGGTGAGGACTTGGTATCCTGAGCTGCGTGTTCAGGACTGGGTGTCCGGGACTGTGTGTCCTAAGGTTTAAATACCTAGCCGCTCCAACCAGACGTACAGTTGTCACAGCAACTAGAACTGGTCCAACACATCATTGTCTTCAACGAGTCACTGGTTTCATCTTCACTTCCTTTTACTTACTGATTACTCATTGTGAAGTCATTGCATGTCTGTTCTATCTTTTGTCTTCACAACGTGAGTATATGATCTGTTTGGCTTCATAATATCTTCCTACCTGATCCTTATTACACTGCAGCCATTTGTCACTGTGCTTTCACTCTGTTGATACTTGACCATGGCTTGCCTAGTGTAGTCTACCTTCCGTTGCATAGTAATAGGCATATTTCTGCTGTTTGTCTTCATAACTTCCACATTTTGAAGACCCTCATAAAAATCGCCTATTCACCCCCTCTCTAGTCGATATAACGCACTTTCAGCTATCAAGCACCAACTTCGATGCATCAGCCACGATAAGATGGTGAGTAGGCCTGACCCTCACCACAAACATCAGCTTGTCCGGCCTTGTAATCATGCCTCTCGTCCATCTTGACAGGAAGTTCAACACCGCATCCACTGATTGCGGGTTAGTTGTTTGATCAAAAGCTGGAGCCCTAGATACTTGCACAGAAAACTCTGAATCCTCCAGGGAAGGGCCGCGGCTACCCTCTCTGTATCTTCCTCAGCCCGGTCTGATCAGTATCACCGAGGACTTTTGGTAATTGTTTTCAGTCCCGAGGCCTACCCAAAGATGTACATCACTTCCTTCACTTCTTTGCAAAATCTCATTTGCTACTCCATGTAACAAAATCTTCCGCGCTCCTCCGCCAACAATGCTACACGTACGAAGGATTACGGGGTGTTACGGGGGCTGATTCAACGTGGCCGTTAATGATTGGGGTTAGCTGTGGAAGCGGGCCCACCCCATGAAAATCAAGGGGGGGGGGGGGTGAACGTCAATAATTCTACACCTACGAAACCTTCTCCATAAGCTTACTTAACCTTCCATAAAATTCTCTTCTCCCCCCCTGATTTTAACCGGGGTGGGCCTCAGCTGCTAATCTTGGCCCAATTAACAAACCCCACATCAACTTTTACGTAGAATCTGAATGTAACATTACTAGGGCTACAAGAAAAGCTCGAGGATCACGACCCGCTCGAGATCGACTCTTTTTTTGGCTCGGCTTGAGATCGACTCGAAAAGAAACGAGTTGAGTATGAACATTTTTTGTAGCTCGGTCAAGAAATGAGCCAATCTTGAGCCAATACTGGCTCGCTCGATTTTAGCTCGATAGCTCGGCATAATATTATTAGGTTAGATGAGCATGCTAGATATTAAATGAAAATAGGATAATTTATGCCATATATGTCATTCAGGATTTTTCTTTGTTTATTTGCAAGCAAGCATGGAAGCTTAATTAATTGCTGAGAAAATTTCTACCTTCGTATGGTAAGTGGTCGGCCGTGCGTTAACTATTCTGTTGTTTCCCAGCATATGCACCTTTGTTTTTTGTTTTCTTTCATCCATGAAGACCACCATCTGTTGGTCCAAGAAAAGATGAGCTCTCCCGACTATGAAGCGATGGTGGTACCTTCAATTGAAGACCACCATCTGCTTCGTTTTCCCAATTATATACTCCGCGGTGGTGGTCCCAATGATGGGAGTATATTTTGCGAATCATTATCTTATGTCGATTCTAGACATTCAGTCATGAGAGAATAAGTCAAATTACATCTAAGAAATTTAAATTATCATCATTTTGATGGAATACTATTTTTAGTGCTTTTTTTATGTGGTGTTGTGCTTTATCTAGCTGGAATAATAGTCATAGATTTATATTTTTATCCTCTCATTTAGCTCGAAACTAGCTCGAGATCAACTCGAAATTGTTACAAGCTAAGCATGAGTCATGTTCTACAGTTCGATCTTGAGCTTCACTTAGTTTGAGCTCGCTCGAATTTTAATATGAGTTGAGCTGAGCCATGTGCAACTCGCTCGAACTCGACTTGTTTGCAGCCCTAAACATTGCGTATGTGTAGCATTGCTCGGTGAACGTTTAGTAAATTAACGTTTAGTAAATTGGAAGGAGTCTGTAAAGCCCCGTAACTGTTCGTGCATCTAGCATTTTTTGCTCCTCCGCAGAGGATCAAGGCCATGAACCGACGTGTGATCGTGCTGTTCAATTATCCCTAGCGACCGGGGCCCCACGCCATCTGGAACTGCCTCATCCACTCCGCGCGGGTCCCGCCGCGAGCACCGTACCATCCACTGCCGCCTCGCCACGTCCGCCGCGTCTCCGGGTATATAAGCCGGCGGGAAGGAGCCCGCAGCTGACCACACGGAGCAACGTGAGCCACGCACACCAGATTTACAACCAAGCACGAGAGAAGGAAATGGTTGTGGCGGAGGCCGGCGATGAGATGAGCCTGTCGAACATGGTGCTGGGGTTCTACGAGGAGGCCGACCGGGAGCGGCGGCCCGAGGACGAAACCACCGTCGGCGACGGCGGCTGCAGCGACGACGAGAGGGCCGGCGGCGGCGCCGCCGCCGAGAGCAGCGCGTTCTGGGCGGAGCAGCTCTCCCATTTGCATGTAAGTTAATGGAGTCGATCGTCGTGAACTGGTTGGCGTGTGTGCTTGGCTGTTTGTCATCGCATCATCGGGCGGCATGTAAATTAATCTCGCCGTCACGAATGCGTACACGCAGGAGGTGCTGGGCAAGACGAGCTCGGCGGAGAGCCGGATCCGGGCGGACGCGGAGGAGGCCGTCAGGCATGCGCGGTCCGGCACCGCCACCGCGGCAGCTGGCGTCTGCTCCTCCTGCGCGACCCGCGCGACGGCCGGCGGTGGGTGCCGGGGCTGCACGCTCCGGTCCGTCGCGGCGCGGCTGCGCGACGCCGGGTACGACAGCGCCGTGTGCCGGTCCAGGTGGGCGCGCTCGGCGGAGTTCCCCGCGGGGGAGCACAGCTACGTGGACGTGGTGGTGCCGACGAGGAGCGGCAGGGCGGTGCGGGTGGTGGTGGAGCCCAGCTTCCGGGCCGAGTTCGCCATGGCGCGCGGCGGCGCTGGGTACGGCGCGCTGGTGGCCGCGCTCCCGGAGGCGTTCGTGGGCAGGGCGGAGAAGCTGCGCGCCGTGGTCGAGGCCATGTGCGCCGCCGCGAAGCGGTGCGCGCGGGAGAGCAGCCTGCACATGGCGCCCTGGAGGAAGCGCCGGTACATGGAGGCCAAGTGGCTCGGCACGCCGGACCGCCTCTTGGCAACCACCGGCGCCGGCGCGGGTGCCCCCGTGGCGCTCGGGTCCCCGGAGAGCGAGAAGCAGCGCAGGTTCAGGGCCTCCATGCTGACGCTCGACTTCGGCGGCCGGACCGCCGTGGAGGTCGCGTGAGCGATCGATCACACTCGCACCTGGAGATGGCTGCAACCTGTGAACTGCCGGCCTGCGAAATTACCACGAATACATACATACATACATACATACCTATGAATTGAATTATCGTGTGGGAATACACTGTTTGCTTGCTCCCTCGGTGATCAAAACCGCCAAGGATGCAGCTGCTCCTTCATTTACCGAGCGCTTCGGGTAGGGGCGTTGGCCTCAATGATCTTTGCTCCGGTGAACCAACCCACCCAGCTATCTCTTACGCAGCGATCGACCACAGCCGAGGTGATCAATCGATGATAAATGCCACACGTGTGGCACGAACACATGGCAACTCTAGATGTTTTTATGACAAATTTAGTGACGCGAGGATGTTTAGTTGTCAAGTACGATAACATTTTTGTTCGGATGCCAAATTTTAGGGGTGTTTGGTTCCAGGGACCTTTTTATGTTGGGAATAGAAAAAGTCCCTAGCAAATCAAACAGGGTGAGACTTTTTGCTAAAAGTACTTAGAAGCACCTCCTTGATAGTCTTTTTTAAAAAGTCTCGGGGACTAGAAAAAATCCTATGACTAGAGAACCAAACACCACCTTAGTTTCTTTTGTTGTTTTTTCTTTTCGAATGGCAACATTGATTGTAAAAACCGTCAGGGTCAAAGTGCTTCGTGCAACACGTGTGACCGTAATCATTTGAAAACAGTATTTGGTTTGATCTCTAGCGACCTACCCCTGCACTGCGATTTGAGTATCTTAATACAGCGAATCAGAGGAGTGGTCGGTAGTTATATGGAGCATCTCTAGCTAGCTAGTGGGTATGCATGAGTCTAATTTTAGTAGGGAGATTTGTGTCCCGGGACAACTTCTCTACTAGCTTAACAGGTCTGCCCTTGCGTTGCGTTGCGTCGCGGACTCATTCCACCATGTATGGTTTGATCTGCTGCCAAAAGCGAGGACGACGGGGCAACATGCAGCGTGTGATGGTGTTGTCTCATCACTGATGCTACTCGGACCGGCCTTTACGAGGTCTTTTTTATAGGGTTAGTTTTAGTTGGCAAAATATGATTGGATTACGAGGGAGGGAAGGACCCCACCCTAGCTGAAATTCAGGGGGAGCGGTTTAGATAGATGGAAGAAGTTCGTCGTTCATATGGGTGCCGTGTGTTTAGGATTATCGGTTGTCTCATACTCCCTTTGTAAAGAAATATAAGATCACTCATATATGTTACCGACTGCCATCTGGGAGGATAGTATGGGACTGCCAGAGCATCCTGAACTGGGAATTTTGGTGGTACCGATGGCCTTCCTCCCTCGTCTACCGCCGGCACGTGCAAGATCATCACTTGCATGACATGTCACTTCATCAATCTTAGGTCTGACACTAGTTGGTTATGCCTAGCAATGGCGATGTTGCCTGGTTACCAAGTTGGGGGCTTTGCTCGGACTTGATCTTCAGGGTGAAAACCATCGATCTAGCCTTTGGTGGTTGGATCCGGCCATAAGGCGCTTGTGCATCATTCCCTTTCTGGAGGCGTTGGTTATAGAGAACCATCTCATGGTCTTTTTGTTGTCATGATATGGTTGGTGCCAATGATTTTTGTTTTATTTCATCGATCTTTGTTTTGATCGCTTTGATTTTTTTTCTCCGTCCAAGCAAAGCTTCGGTCTTGTATGACTTTTCGCTTATCGTCGTGATTATTTGTGTGTGCGTTTGTATTTTGTTGTGTGCATCGTAGACATGGAGAGGCCATATACACTTGATGCTAAATTACAAGTAAATAAAAAGCAGCCTTTGTTGGAAAATCTCTTGACTTCTTGAGCAATTCTACGTCTTTTCTTTTTCTTTTTGAGGATGACTAGTTCTAGAGATTTTAACATAGAAAAATGGAGTGTGTTTTGGGCACATATATAGGTTCCCCATTGGGACTATATGAAACTAGAAGCGTAGGCATGCCGTGCCGTGCCACTGGTCATAGTGAGGAGTAACTTATACTAGTGTCATGCATATGACACTAGTCTAAATTACTATCTTCATAGTGTAAAGTAACATACTAGTAGTGCCATATGTGGCTTCATTTAATGACTTGTAGACTCATCTTGTCTTGGGAAGCGCTATGTTACAGTAACATATTATGTTACCACTTCTCATTAACTACATGCCACATAAGAAATTTTTTCTCGAAGTGCGCTATGTTACTACCTATGTTACTACCTAACTAAATGCTATAGCGTGCACACAAAGCTATAGCGAGCTATTTAAAACGTTTGTTCATTTGTTTGGATCAAAGTCTCTTAGCACAAGACCTTCTGTAAATGCTATAGCGTGCTATAGCGGGCTATTTAAAACAGTGCTGATACCATACAATCAAGAGTTCGTCTATTCTTCTGAGATGGTTTTTCTTCTAAAAGTCCAGCAAAATATTTATTGTGATCTGTAAAGAAAAAGAAAGGTGTCTCGTGTAGTTTGTGTTTATATACAACGAAAAATTGATTTACAGAGCTGTGATCTACTCCACATAACACGTTTTGGGAGGAAGAGGACACACGATCACAGCAGCTTCGGCGGCGGGGGCCCTGAGAAATCCGGTGGGCTATATGAGAGCTTTAGGATCCAGTTGGCAAGCCTGTTCTTGTTTTGCTCCTGAGCTTCCTGGCAACTGGGGGTTGGGGTCTTCTCAATGGTTCCATATCTATCAAGAGTCGCCTTGAGATTTTCAAGGGTTTTAACTATCTGAGTAAACTCAGGCCTCTTCTCGGGTTGAGCGGACCAGCATTGCTCCATCAATTGTTGCAATGGTGTCGGGCAGCTCGAAGGAACAACCGGTCTCAAGTTCTGAAATTAGAATTTCGTTAACAAACAGTTCATGCGCAGAATTGTCAAGTGAGTAAACTTAATGTTTCTTTGGTAAATTCCTCACTACGGTAGAAACAAATTGGAAGGTAAGTGAATTAGGAGAGCAAATACCTTATTAACAACTGCATAAGCTGCTTGGAGAGGAGTCATCTCTTCATAAGGGATGGAACCACTAACCAGTTCCCACAAGACGAGCCCAAAACTATAGACATCGACTTTCGGACCATATGGCTTGCGCTTACACATCTCTGGCGCCATCCATCTATATGTGCCTGGGTCGTCTTCCATCGTGTTGCAGTAAACGTCTTCAAAAGCTACTCCGAAATCAACGACCTTTGCGCAACATTCTGCGTCGAATAGAATGTTCTCAGGCTTCACGTCACGGTGGATTACTCCTTGCGAATGCACGTATTCCAGACCACGTGCAATGTCCAGGGCAACGGAGATAATCTTCTCCAAAGGAAGTTGCTTGCCCTCCAGCTTGCGCAGATAGGCTCTCAAAGAGCCCCCAGGCAGGAACTCAGTGATGACACAGAAGACAGGTGCAGAGCTACATGCCCCAACCAGCTGCACAAAATATTGTGAATGGATTTAACATAACTCTTTGTTACAGTATGTGATGAAATCTAGAGTACCAACATGATAAAATGTAGCCACAGTCCAATGATACTACCTTTCTTATGCTAACAGTGCTGTTTAAAAAAACTGATACAAATACAGCTGCGGTGGTCCAGGTAGTCTAATCCCAAGCGAAGGAAATTATTTTTCTTATTATTTTTTGTGAAACAGGCTATGAGCTTGACAACTATGACAACATTGATTACACTGATGGGTATGATATGGGAGCAGTTAGTAGATAGTTATGTCCAATTCAAAGACATTGACTAGTATCCTACTCGTGTACTTGTCATCTCCAGAGGAAGATATTTCTTCTTTTTTTAGTGGCAGGGGGAGAAGATACTTGGCATTGCAGTGAGCATATTCCGTGTATATGTCACTAGGGAGAAATACCCTGGATTATCTACTGTCAGCAAAGTCATGCTTGCAGAAACACTACTAAGAAATGCAAGAAATACAGAAGAGCAAAGTTGAGGCCCTATGGAAGGTAATGCATATTGCACCTGTTAATAATTTGAGGGGTGCTGCATACTGACTCAACTATGCAAAATCCCCAAATTCAAGTATGGACAGTTCCATGAGTACATAGAAAGGCAAAATGACATAGTGGTTACTGTACTGTTTTCTAATTTAGAAATAAATGCTACTCATGGGCAATGGATAGCTAGAAAACATCAAAAGAAATTTTATGTGGAAATTCATTTCATTACCTCAATGACATTACGATGCTGGAGCCGAGCCAAAATGGTAACTTCGACAGTGAACTGCTTCTCAAGCCGAGCAGCCAATTCCGGATCTTCACCATCATCAGGTAGCCTGATAAACTTGACAGCAACAGGCTGCTCCTTGTAGATTCCATGGAACAGACGACTATACGCTCCTGATGCAAATCTATGGCCAATGAGTAACTGTGAGCGGTCGACCGTCCATTTCTCAAGTACATCGAGCGCAGCGACCTTTGCAACTCTAGCTTCCGAGTTCCTTGGCCAGGAAGAGGCCCTTTTGGTTACCAATTTGGTCGCTGCTCTTGTCGAAGAGAATGCAAAAGGGGGACTATCATCCAGCAACCGAACAGAGCTAGATTTCCTTTGCCGCTGTGGAGAGGAGAACCTCTTGCTGGCAGCTTTCGCCTCCCTAAAAACGTCGGAGATGACGCGCGCTGGGATAGGGGATTTCGCTCTTCTCTTCGGCTTTGATCCATCCCCAGCAACCTTGAAAGATACACTCCGTGGATTAGAATCCCCGGCTAGCCCTGCATCCTTGGCAAAGTAAGGACCTGGGCTAGAGCACACCCTCTGCAACCTCAAGCTTTGCTCCTCGGAGTGGAAAGAGAACTCCAGCGTGTTGCCTGAGCTTCCATCATTCAAACCCCGGACAATACGCCGATTAGGAATATCCAGTGATTTCAAGCTCAGGCCGTTTCCCTTGGGTCCAACCTCACGCCGATCTTGCATCATCGACGTTTCTTTCAGTGAGCCATCGCCAACAGAACCACTCTGTTTCAGCTGAACATCTGAAAACACAACATCTTTCGGCTTCCGGTCTGCCTGGCCGGCTGCCGATTTTGCCCTGGGAATCGCCGGCCTCGCCGGGTTTGAGACCGCCCCTTTGGCCCTCGGCTGCAGGCTCTTGAGCTCTGAATCAAAATCTTTCTGCATGGACACGGCGCGGCGGCTGAACTGCTCGTCGAAGGAGCACCTGCCGGAGCTAGACCTGACGATGGAGTGCGAGAACTTGGTGCGCCGCACCCACGAGTACTCGTCCTCGTCCATCTCCTCCGCGAAATCTCAAGCAAACCAGATCCGAGAATACCGTAGGGCCGTCACGAAGTTGCAGCAAGAACTGGATCAGAGGACTCTGGGAATCTGAGAACCTGACGCTAGAAGAGGATCTGCATTTGATCCCTCCCCGCCGGCGGTGAGACCCCGGAGTGCGTGCTGCTCCATCGCGGTCGACTCCGGCGCGCCATTCGACCAGATTCAACCGCCAATCGCCGGCTCCTCCTCGTCGTCGTTGGCCCGAACCTGAATCAGTTTGTTGGATTGAACGCTCAGAAACAAAACAGCAAATCAAATCGAGAAGAAGGAGAAAAATCCGGCCTTGTGCGTGGCGGGGGCGGGGGCGCTACCAAGATTCCTAGTGCGTATCGGGGGCGGGGGGCACCACGGAATCAACCAATCTACCGAACGAGGGAGGGAGAGAAGGCGGGCCAACCGGTCGGTTCGGGAAAGGCCAAGGCATGGACCGAACAGTAGGCCGTACGTGCGTGGGCGAATGAGGGGAGCGCGGCGGCGGACCGGGACACGCCGCCCGCTCGCTCGCTCGCTCGCAGGGTGGGAAAGGGGAGGGGAGGGAAAGCGACGAGATGCGTCGCCCCGAAGCAGACGGTGGCGAGTGGAGTAGGAGTAGGAGTATATTGTTTTTGTGGCGGGATTCAAAGGCCGTTGGTCTCACGCCTCTTTCTCCGCCGTCGTCGCCTCCCGTGACGCCATGGGAAGACGCGCGCGCCCAGATCGAATCTAAACCCGGCGAAAGCGAATGAAACGGCCGCCGGAGGCAGCGGATTGGCGGAGGCGACGGTCGGGCCGAATCGGGATCACGCAGAGCCGAGGAAAAGCGGCGTGAAAAGCGGGGGGAAAGAATGTTAAGAGGGTCGCACGCGCGCGCACGGGAAAGGCGAGGCCCGCGTGGGCGCGGCGAAGAGCTGGAGGAGAAGGACGAGCGCGTACCGTATGGAGAGGAGACAGGAGAAGAGCTTCTACGCCTCCTCCGTCGCCGTCGCCGTCGCCGTCGTCGCTGCGGGTGCCTCGTCGTCCGTCCGTCCGTCCGACCTCGGCGGTGGTCAGTGTCGGGGGTCGCGCGTGGAAACCTGGAACTCTGGTCCGGATGTGGCCGGGAAGGCAGACAAGTACGGGGTACGAGAGGGTACACTTGGAAACTGTACACTTGGGTTGGGTGCGGGGTGATGTGGCGTGCGTGGTGTTGGTTCTTCTCTTCTTCCTCCTATCAAGTCCCCGTTGAGTGAGTTGTTGTTGTTACGTGGACGTCGGCGAGCGTGGACTGGGGCGGGTGGGTGTCTGATTGCTGATTGGCATGGCGTGTTGGCATGCACGGGGCCCCGGCCGGGGAGCGGTGACCTCACGCGCTTGACCGTGGAACCTGATGGAGGAGCGATAGCGGCGGCATCAACCGCTGCGGGTGCGGGGCATCGGATGTGCCGTCTCCCGCCCGCCGCGGCGTGTGTCTGGCCTGGTCGGCTGCGCGAGCGGGGGCTGGGCCTCCGGCTCCAGCCGCCCCTCGCGTGCGCGCTCGCCGGGGGACATGCGTGTGCGGTGTGCCGACCCACGTTGCAGCCCCGGTGCTGGCGCCCGCCCCCCGTGCCGGCCGGAAGGAGCATGATTATTTTACAAAGACATCAAAATGCCATCGTATATCTGGTAAGAAAAGTACCAAGTCCCCTAAAAAAAACTGTACCGAGGAGTATAATGGAAAGGTGAATCTACCTGTGCTTGCATTGCATGGTTAGGATAACAGTGATATTCTGTCCCATCAGGGTTCAAATCCCGATGCATGCATTTATCTTGAATTTATTTCATGCTTTCAGACGATGCGCTTTTGGTGAGAGGAGATGTTTCCGTCGACTATGAGGCGTCTACGGTGACTTCGTAAAATCTCAAGATGAAATACCGGTTTAGTCTCTCGAATATGCGCGTATGCATGAGCGCGTGCGTATGTACTGTGTTAGAAAAAAGAGTACAATGGAAAGGCAACAAAATACAAAACAACTAGAATAACTAAATAAAATTACATCGAAACCTATTTCGGTTATCCATTTCTCTCGATTATATGCCGCCCGCCGGATCTCGAAGATCTACTGAACAAGCAGTAAATGAAAGGGACAACCACAGACTCCATCCCAAATCAAGCTTTGAATATTGTAATAGTCACTCGTTGCTAGAAAGGAGAACCATAAATAATCGAATGAACATCGGTTGGTGAATCGCCGATGCTATGCGGGCTTGCAATCCTTCAATGCCGGTCCAGATCAATCCCTGCATGAACTGAAAAACAAACAAGAATTTGAGATATGCGCTATGAATTACGGATATAATGTGAAGTACTTGTTTTACATTGTGGAGTTCTCATGACGCATAGTGCATGAAGCCTCGTCGTCTCTTGTGTCTATGGCAAAGAGTATCAAACGTCAAAGCTCAATTAAACAAAACCCTAACTCGACACCCTAAAGATAGGGGGGATTCAACCAGCCAGCGAGGCAAAGGGGCCGAATCCGACTATTGGGGTTATAAACACGGGGTAGGCCGAAGTATATGGTTGGCCCATCAAGAGCCCATGCCCCGTCCATGATACGACCCAGAAGACCATGGGCAATGGAGCATCATCATCAGCCCGACAAGAATAAAGAGGGTGGCTGAGGATGAGGCTAAGTCCCTACAATCGGGTCTTGAGTAGAAAATCACATGCAATGTAAAAAATGTTGATATCACTAAAAAATCACATGTATAAAAATATCTTCATGCAATGTAAAAAATAATTAACACAATTTTGGAAAAATCCTACCATTCAGAAATAATTTCACGAGAACGAGACATAAAAATTGTCAAAGGAATTTTTTTAATGTTCGTACCATTAAAAAATTCATGACAATAAAAAAGTTCTCACATTTAGAAATAATTCCATGATTTTCTGAAATGTTCATCAAATGTAAGAATTTTCATCCCCAACTTTTAAAATAGGTTAACACCATGCACAAAAATCCACATAACATTTAAAGCATGTCATGTATTTTAAAAAAAGTCAAGATAATATAATTTTTTGTTCGCACAATTTCAAATAACTGTTCATGACATATAAAACGTCCACTCATTTTTTGAAAGTTCATGCAAAAAATGTCGAAATACAAATAGGAATTTAATATTCATAAAATTTTAAAAATAAGAGCAAATCCAAAAAAGAAACACAAGGAAAAAGGAAAAAAATGATACCAAAAAAGCAGAAAAACAGGTTCATGGGCGGGCCATGCCCCGGTTTGGCCCCAAGGAAGCTCAAGTGAATGGCTCTTGTATGCCTAAATCTTGCTGGCCCATTGGACAGCAAATGACACTCCATTTAGCTAGGCAATTCTTTTCTACTATCACATCGCCAAAAAATTACCGATCAAAATAGTTTAACATGTACTTATTTACAACATATCCCTTTTGACACCTCAAAGAAAAACGTCATTAATAATTAATTAAGAAACAGTATAACAGGGTGACCTAGGAGCCTCCAGAACGCTTTGTCCTAGCTAGCCTTTTTTTTTTCTGAGGATGCCTAGCTAGCCGTTCGATTGCATCGATCGCAAGCTGTTCGGGCGTCTTCGCTCGTTTCAGGTTTCTTGGGCCGCTGCTCCAGGAAAACTATCTACGTCTTTGGTGGTTTACTGGGCTGGGACATCTTGGCTCGATTCCACGCCGGCTCATCCCCTGCTTCCCTCCTTTGACCGGCGCCGCCGCCGCCGCCGCCGTTGTCCTGTCCTCTTCCAGGAACGCTCAGACCAGAGACCACTACCCCGTGCTAAAAAACAAAGTCAAGAAAAAGTTCCACCCGTGACCTGCGCCCCGCGGGTAGTGACCTGCCTGGGCAAAAATGTGTCGGGAACTCGGGATGGCGATTCGCCTATGACGCGCGCGCGACAGAGAGGCTGACAGAGGTTGGGCCATCTGGTTGCACTTGCACTCCGGCCGCCTCCAGGCACCTCGGAGCTTCCACGCCACTGCCTTCTTCATTCGCTTCTCTGTGCTCAGTGAAGGGAGATGAAGATGAGGAGCACCCGATAGGATGGGAAGGCGAGCAAACTGGGGCAGGCGAGGCCTGCCAGTGGCGAAGCTAAGAGATGTGACCGTCAGCAGCATTTACTCACGGACGTGCTTGGGCGGCCTGACCTTCCTACGCCCGTAATGTCAGGCACAGGTTCAAACCTTCTCCAGTGTTTTTACTTTCTATATTGAAACCTATGCCATTTGTACTATGAATAGGGCAGTTATGTTGTTTAGTGCTCCCCACTGATTGAAGCAACAAATATTAGTACGTGTACTCCTGTCAGTGTGAAAGAACGATGTGTCTTTCTGTTAGCAATTGAAGAATATACCACATGGATAAATGCTATCAATCAAGAACAACAATATACGAGCCAATTACTCCCTCCGTTCCTAAATATATAAGTCTTTTTAGAGATTTCAATATGAACTACATACGGATGTATATAGACGCACTTTAGAGTGTAGATTCACTCATTTTGCTTCGTATGTAAGCCATATTAAAATCTCTAAAAAGACTTATATTTAGGAACGGGGAGAGTAGTAGACACAGCTGATGCCGTTTAAGGTACAGATTGATAATCCAGATATTAGAATTCAAGTACATGAATAACTGAAAAGATGTCTAAAGTTAAGGAATAAGTGGGAATGCCTATCCAGTGGCGGAGCTTGGGCAAGAATCATGTGGGTGGGGGGCAAACAGAATCACTATAGGCTGATTTTTGATGAAAAAAT